AGAATTGGTATTATTTTTTCCTTAAAATTTTGGTAGAATTCACCAATGAAGCTGTCTGTTCTTTGAGTTTTTATGTTTGCTTTTTGTGTGTAAGGGGGCATTTGTAACTACATATTCAGTGTTTTAAATAGATAAAGGGCTATTCACATTATACGTTTCCTCTTGAGTGAGCTTTGATATTTTGTGTCTTTCAATGAGTATATCCGTTTGTTTGACACACTGAGCACTAATGACAGAAGATCAGACAAGTTGTGGAATAACATCATGAACTTCATGAATGAAGAAAGCAAAAGATCATTAAAAAGACATGAAAGAAAAAAAAGACAAATGGATGTCAGAAGAGACTCTGAAACTTGGTCTTGAACGTAGAGTGGCAAAAGCGAGTGGAAGAAATGATGAAGTGAAAGAGCTGAACAGAAGATTTCAAAGGGCAGCTCAAGAAGACAGAGTAAAGTATTATAATGAAGTGTGCAAAGACCTGGAGTAAGAAAACCAAAATGGAAGAACGCACTCAGCATTTCTCAAACTGAAAGAACTGAAGAAGAAATTCAAGCCTCGAGTTGCAATTTTGAAGGATTCTATGGACAAAATATTGAATGATGCGGGAAGCATCAAAGGAAGATGGAAAGAATACACAGAGTTACTGTACCAAGAAGAATTGGTCGACATTCAGCCATTTCAGGAGGTAGCATATAATCGAGAACCAATGATATTGAAGGAAGAAGTCCAAGCTGCACTGAAGGCATTGGCAAAAAATCAAAAGTCTAGGAACTGACGGAATACCAATTGAGATATTTCAACAAATGGAGGCAGTGCTGGAGGTGCTCACTCATCTCTGCCAAGAAATTTGGAAGACAGCTACCTGGCCAGCCGACTGAAAGAGATCCATATTTGTGCCCATTCCAAAGAAAGGTGATCCAACAGAATGTGGAAATTATTGAACAGTATCATTAATATCATGTGCAAGTAACATTTTGCTGAAGGTAATTCAAAAATGGTTACAGCAGTGCATCAACAGGGAACTGCGAGAAATTCAAGCCGAATTCAGAAGAGGATGTGGAACGAGAGATATATTTGCTGATGTGAGATAGACTTTAGCTGAAAGCAGAGAATACCAGAAGGGTGCTTACCTGTGTGGATCATAACAAATTATGAATAACAATGTGTCATGGTTAAGATAGTATGTCAACTTGGCTAGGCCATGATTCTCAGTTGTATAATGTTGTGATCACTTCCCTGTTGAAATTTGATATGTGATCACCCCATGATGGAATCTGCTGAGGGATACCAGCAGGGGCAGGGCCTGTGGCAGCTCACCACCCCCTCAGCTTCATCTCTCTGCCCTCTGCCAGCTACTTCCTTCCTGCTCGCCTTGTCAAAGTTTTTGGCTTATTCCAGACCCAGCAGCTGCCTCTTGTTGTCTCATCTCCAGTTCTTGGAAGTTGAGCTAGCAGCTTACCTGTTGATCTTGGAATTTGTCCATCTTCATAGCCTACGAGCAAGGGTCCTGTTCCCTGACCTGCTGATCTTGGGTTCACCAGCCCCTGCAGCTACGTGAATCAGGAGAAACCTGGCGGTCTTGTCTGCTGATCTTGGAATTCGTAGACCTATACAGCCTGTGAGCGGGAGCCCTGCACTCCAACCTGCCAACCTTGGGTTTGCCAGCTTCTGTGGCTGTGTGAATTGGGCGAGGCCTCTACCCTGATCCACAGATTTGGGACGTTCTAGCTTCTACAATCCTGTAAGCTGTTTCCTCAATATAAATCTCTGTATATATATATTTATACGCTTTGGTTTTGCTTCTGTAGAGAACCAAGCCTAAGACACATTGCAAACAGTAGGAATTCCAAAACACTTAATTGTGCTCATACAGAACCTGTACATAGACCAAGAGGCAGTCATTCAGAGAGAACAAGGAGATGCTGTGTGGTTTAAAATCAGGAAAGGTGTGTGTCAGGGTTGTATCTTTTAACCATACTTACTCAGTCTGTATACTGAGGAGCAAATAAGCCAAGAAGCTGGACTATATGAAGAATGCAGCATCAGGGTTAGAGGAAGACTCATTAACAACCTGTGACATGCAGATGATGCAACCTTGCTTGCTGAAAATGAAGACAACTTAAAGCACTTACTGATGAAGATCAAAGACTGCAGCCTTCAGTATGGATTGGACCCCAACATAAAACAAATCCTCACAACTGGACCTATAAGCAACGTCACGATAAATGTAGAAAAAATTGAAGTTGTCATGGATTTCATTTTACCTGCATCCACAATCAACGCCTATGGAAGCAGCAGTCAAGAAATCAAATGACGTATTTATTGCATTGGGCAAATCTTCTGCAAAAGATCTCTTTAAAGTGTTAAAAGGCAAAGATGTCACTTTGAGGACTCAGGTGTATCTGACCCAAGTCCCAGGGTATTTTCAGTTGCCTCATAAGGATGCAGAAGCCGAACAATGAATCAGGAAGACCAAAGAAGAATTGATGCCTTTGAATTATGGTGTTGGTGAAGAATATTGAATGTACCATGGACTGCCAGAAGAACAAGCAAATCTGACTTGGAAGTACAGCCAAAGTGCTCCTTGGAAGTGCAGATGGCGAGACCTCGTCTCGCATACTTCGGTCATGTTATCAGGAGGGACCAGTCCCTTGAGAAGAACATCGTGCTAGGTAAGGTAGAGGATCAGCCAAAAAGAGGAAGTCCCTCAACAAGATGGATTCACACAGTGACTGCAACAATGGGCTCAAACACAGCAATGTGAGGATGGCGCAGGACAAGGCAGTTTTTCATTTTGTTGTACGTGGAGTCACTATGAGTTGGAACCGACTAGACAAACACCTAATAGCAACAACACCATTTATCTTAGTTGTTGAGTTAAGTAGCATAAAGCTGCTGTTAATATTCTTTGAATATCCTGTTTTACGTCTGTAGAATCTGAAGTGATGACCTCTCTATCATTCTTGATATTGGTAATTTTTTGTCTTCTCTTTTTCTTGATCAGTCTGGCTAGAGGTTTATCAACTGTATTGTCTTCAAAAGAGCCAGCTTTCGGTTTTCATTGCTTTTCTGTTTTGTATTTCATTGATTTCTGTTCTTTTCGTTTTGTTCTGTTTACTTTGAGTGTAATTTGTTTCTTTTTGTAATTTTTAAGGTGAAAATTAAAATTATTGATATTTGAAAACTTTCTTAACTAATATATCCATTTCATGCTAATTATTTCCCTCTAAACACTGCTTTCTATGCATCCCACATATGTTATATTTTCATTTTCATCCTGTTCCATAGATCTTATAATTTTTCTTTTGATTTTTTTGACTCATGGGTTATTTAGAAATGCGTTATTTAGTTTCCAAATACTGAAGGATTTTTCAGATGTCTTTCTGTTTGGGGTTTCTAATTTCATTCCATTGTGGTCAGTGAACCTACTTTGTGTGGCTTGAATTTTTTTAAAAATTTGTTTATTGCTATTGATTTTATGATACAGAGTATGCTCTATTGTTCCATGTTCTGTGTGCGCTTGGAAAGAATGTGCATTCTTCTGTTTTTATTGGAGTGCTCTGTCATTGTCACTTAGGTCAAATTGATTGATAGTGTTCAGTTGTTCCATATCCTTGCTGATCTTCTCTACTCTTTATACCAGTTATTGAAAGATGTTTATGTTATTAGTACATAGACATTTAGAATTATGTTTTCTTAATGTATTGACTTCTTTATCATTATGAAATAGCTGTCATTATCCTGATAATATTATTTTCTCTGAAATCTATTTGTCTAATATTAATATAGTCCCACTAAGTTTTCTCCGGATTAGCGGTAGCATGGTCTATCTTTTTCCATCCTTTTACTTTAACCTATTTATGTATTTATATTTAAAGTGGATTCCTTGGAGATAGCATATAGCTGAACTTTTTTTTTTATTCAGCCCAATAGTCTCTGTCTTTTAATTGGAGTATTTAGACTATTTACATTTAATGTGAAACGTTGATGCCATCTTAGTGATTGTTTTGTCATGTGTTCTTTGTTAGTTTTGCTGTTTCTTCTTTTTCTTTTTTTTTGAAAAATCGGGCATTTCTTATTCCATTTTACTGCATTGTTGGCATATCACTATCCCTCTTTCCTGTTTTTTTGTTTTTTTTTTTAGTGATTACTTTAGGGTCTATAATACATGTCTTTAACTTTATCACAGTATACGGAGTCCCTTATGCCTTGCTGTATAAAAACTTTACAACAGTATACAGATACAATACCCGAGTATATTTCTCCTCTCCCAAGATTTGAGTTATTGTTGTCTTCCATTTACTTCTGTGTGTGTTGTAAACTCATAATACAGTGTTAATATTTTTGTTTAAACAGTCATTTATATTTTAAAGTGATTTTTAACATAAGATTAAAGGTCTTTGTACTTACCCATATATTTGTCATTTCTGGTATTCTCCATTTCTTTGTGTTGATTCACATTTCCATGTGGTATTGTTTTGCTTCTGCCTGAATGACTTGCTTTAACATTTGTTGTAGCAAAGGTCTGCTGGCAGTAAATTTTTTCTGCTTTTGTATGTCTGAAAAAGTATTTATTTCACCTTTTTTGAAACCTTTTTTGTACTGGATATACAATTCTATGTTGACAGTTTTTTTGTTTTACTTGCAATATTTGAAAGATATTGCTCCATTGCCCTCAGACTTGCATTGCTTCTTGGGAGAAAGTCAGCTGTCATTCTTATCTTTGTTCCTGTATATATAATGTGCCCTATTTTCCTTGGTTGCCTTTAATATTTTCTCTTCATCCCTGGTTTTAAACAACTGTAATGTGCCTTGATGTAGTTTACTTCATATTTCTTGGCTTTGTTCACATCTTGGTTCTGTGAATTTATGGTATTTCTGAAGAAATTTTAACCATCAGTTGTTCTTTTTTTTTTTTTCCTTGCCTCCCCCTCCCCCCACCCATCTCCTTCAGGAACTCCAGTTTCACATATATTTGGGCACTTGAAGTTGTCCCGCAGCTCACTTATGCTCGGTTTATTTTTTTCCCCGTTTTTTAATCATTTGTATTTCATTTTGTAAAGTTTCTATTGCTATATCTTCAAGTTCAGTTCTGCATCTCCTTATCTGTCGATTCTATCAAGTGTAATTTTCATCTTGGATTTTGTAGTTTTAACCTCTAGACATGCTACTTAGATCTTTTTTATATCTTCCATATCACTCCTTAACATGCTTTTGCTTTTGACTACTTTCTTGAGCATATGAATTATATTTACAATAACTGTTTTAATGTCTTTGTGTACTAATTCTGTTACCTCTGTCTTTTCTGAGTCTGCGTCTATTGGTTGATATTTTTATTCATTACAGGTTGTGTTTTGCTGCATTTTTGCATACCTAGTAATTTTTAAATGCATGCCAGACATTGTGAATTTTATCTTTTTTGGATGCTGAATAATTTTGTGTTGTTTTAAATATTCTTGAGGTTTGTTCAGGGACACAGTTAAGTTACTTGCAGACTATTTGATTGTTGTAAGACTTTTAAGCTTTGTACAGGACCAGAGGAGACTTTAGTATGGGTCTAATTTTTCCCCACTACTGATACAATACCCGAGTGTTCTGTCTGATGCTGTGTATATTTAAGAGGTTTTCCACCGCTGGGGAGGAACACGAACTATTTTAGGCCCTATGTAAACAACAGGGGTTTTTCCACGTACCTTTTTCAGGTGGTTCTTTCCCCAGCTTCAGGTTGTTTCCTCATATTCATGTGCTGATCTGTACTTAACACTCAAGGAAAGCCCTCTACAGATCTTTGGAGTGCTCTCTGTAGCTCTCTGGTACTCTGCCCTGCAAATTCTCACCTCCTTTGATTGGCACCTCTGCCTCTTGAACTCAGGGAGACTGCTAGGCTCTGTCTCTGTCCGCCTGCCTGCACTGCAGCTGGAAGCTCTCCAGGCAGTAGCTCAGGCAGTCAGTCATAAGGCTCACCTCATTAGTTTTCCCTCTGTCACAGATTACTTTCCTTAGTATCTGTTGTCTAGTGTCTGAAATCACTTCTTTCATTTATTTTTTCCAGTATTTTAGTTGTCTAAGGCAGGAGGGTAAATCTGGTTCTTGTTACTTCATCATTGCCAGAAGTGAAAGTCTTAGGCGTACATTCTGCGTCTCTGATGTGCCATTCTTTTTACCCAGACCTAGAATAATTTTTCTTTCCTAATTGATTTTGAACTCCAGTTATTTCTTCAGATTTCAAGTTAGATGGACCTCACTTACAGGCTTCCATGACTTCCAATGATAATTACTTTCTCTTTATTCCATGTTACCATAGTTTTGGTATTTATGTATATTGTACTAAATAATATTGCAGAATCATTTATTTGTCTTTCTCTGTAGCACTTCATATACTTTCTACTAAGTATTTTATATATTCTATCTTACTTAATTTTATCTTCAGAATACCCATATGAGGTTGTTAACTACTGTGATCTGTGCACAGTGAATCTCAAGCCAGTACCTGGCTTGAAAATAGGTACTTAGTAAATATATGAATGCGTAATGAAGATAATTGAAGTATATCTAGAAGAAAGAGATTAGAGTCTTGAAGGGGACTCAAAATGATGTAATGTTTAGAATTGTTTAAGGAACTGGAGAAGCTTAGCCTGGACAAAGAGGACTCTGGAACCTGAATACCATCTTCAAATGTTTTGAGGGGCTGTCTCATCGAAGAGGGATTAGACTAGTTCCTTATGGCCCCAAGGAGGTAAAATTAGGACTACCAGGTGAAAACTATAGGGAGATATTATACCTTCATAAAAGGAGAATTTTTGATAGGGCTCTCTAAAACTAGAGTGGATTGCCTTGGTAATTTCTTTTTGATGAATACATTCCCTACTATGCTGCTCGTCCACTTCATAGCTGTAATATAACAATGCTGAACTTGAAGTTATACTCTCAGCTCTTTATATTGTTTACTAACACAATTCAAAATGTCTCATGCATTGCCTGGCACAGAGTGGACACTTAATTAGTACTCTTCCCCTTGGTGGACAAACATTAGAAAAGTAAATGATTTAGATGACTGCCGAGAATCTGAGATTGTATGATTCTTTGGGAAACCTTGGTTCATATATCTTAATTTTATTATTTCCTTTATATTTTCTTTTTGTCATTTATAACCACATTTATGTAATGATTATTCATTATTTGCTTAAGTAATCTTAAAAATAATTCATTAGAAGGATAAGACTGAGAAGAACTTATTTTTAACATAGGTTTGTGGCTGTGAATATAGAAAAATGAATTCAAATCCTCTACTCGAATAGCATAAAAATGTTATTCTTGTGTGCCATTTCAATCCTTTTATTAATTCAACAGATTGTTATTATGTGCCTATGATGTGCCAGCCTATGTTAGTCACTGGGGATACAGTGGTAAATAAGGCAAAGGCCCTGCCTCAAGGAATCTGCAATCTCCTAGGAAAGATAAACAGTGAAAATAAACTGTGATGAGTGTTACAGTAGATTGAATGTAGAGTGTTATGGATGTACGTAAAAATTGAGATTCAGCACTATCTTGAGAAAGAATGGGGGATAAGCAGAAGCATCATGGGGGAAAGTGCATATATAAGCTGAGAGCTGAAGGATGAGTAGGAGTTATTAAGGCGTAAAAGATGGGAGAGAGGAATACTTCAGACTAAGGTCTAAAGGCCAAAGAGAACATACCACATTTGGGCAATTGGAAACATTTAGTCATGTAGTGCACTTGGAGCATGGAGTTTGATACCGGTGTGGCAGAAGATGAGACTAAAGAGGTAAGCAGGGACTAGATTACAAATGGTCTTATGACTCATATTAAGGAGTTTAGACCCTATCCTAAGGAAAATGGGTAACCACTGAGGTTTTTAAAGTAGGAGAATAATTTGACCAGATTTTTACTTTAGAAAGAAGCACAGTGATGATTATCTTTCTTAGTAAGAAGTTAAATAAGTAATATATAAAACTGAAAAATCAAGAAATAGAAGTATAAACTTGTTATTTAGAAATAAAGGGGAAAATATTAGAAGAAATAGCTAAAAGAATTGAGAGTAGTTGTCCTTGGGGAGTGGGAATCAGTACGGAAGAGTTAGGGCAGTGGACTAATGTTTTTCTCTTTATAAACCTGGTAGAATGATTTAACTTTCTTAATCTACATGCAGTGTAGCATAGTTGTTAAGAATATGGATGGTAAGGCCAGGCTGCCTGGATGAAATCTTGCCTCTACTGCCTGTAAGTTACTTAATTTCTCTGTGCATAAGTTTTCCTATCTTTAAAAACAGGAATAATAATACTAATAGAACTAATGAAGGGTTTGTGAGCATTAAGTGAGTTAATACATGTACAGTGCTTAAGACAGTGTGTGGTACATAATAAACACTGAAAAAGTGTTGTTATTATTACAAACCAGGCACTCTTAAGTACTGGAAATACAAGGAAAAATAGACAAATTTACAGTCATGGGGAAGATTTTAGTAATCAAGAGAACAAGCAAAGAATCATCACAGTATAGAAGATTTAATCAACATGATTATTAAAATTATTCTAATGCACATATGAAGAACATTGTACCCAACAACTGTAGAATACACATTCTTTTCAAGAACACATGGCACATTTGTAAAATTGACTGAAGAAATTCTCAAATCATACAGATCATGATGTGTATTCAGAAGGCATTTAAGCCAGAAATCAACACAAAGGTTAACTAAAATATTCCCTATATAATTATAAACATAAAAGTACACTTCAGATTAACCCAATATTAAAATATTAATCATAATTGAAGTTAGAAAATAATAATGAAAGTGCTACATATCAAAACTTGGAATGCTGTTAAAGAATAGTAAAAGTTTCACACGTGTATTTTAGGAAAGAAATAAAGGCAGTAAGACTGTATAACACACTGGTCCATACTTAACCATAATCGATTTTCAGAAAATGTTTGATGAATAAATCAGTTTTTTTACTTTCTGAAACAGAAATATGAAGTACTAATATAAAAAGAAAAGTCTAAGTTTTGTCGTATTTTGTAGGGAATATGAAAGGAAATAAAGATAGCTTATGTTTATATAGTTTCTTCTGACTAGAGAAGAAACTGCTTTTTAGACTTTTATATTGAATATGATAAGCTAAAATAGAAATTAGACAAATTTTTTGTGTATTAAACAAGTGTGTGTATGTGTGTGCATGAGACAGAGAATTCCAAAAGGAAATACTTCTAACTCAAGGGTTGTGGAATTATTTATTATTTATACTGAATTCATCTTTCAAATGATTTTCATAAGAATCCATTGGAATGTCCATTATCTTCAAGGATTGGTATAGCATCAGCTTTTCCACTGTTGTTTCAGATAACTTTCCAAGCTGCCAGTATGTATTTTTTGTTTTTGAAATTCCATTCTAATACTGTCTTGTGGTATTAAAATGCGTGACTTAACAAGGTCCCGTATGTACTTTATCAGCTTTCACATTTAAAACCAAAAACCAAACCCATTGCCATCAAGTCAGTCCCGACTCATAGCGGCCCTATAGGACAGGGTAGAACTGCCCCATAGAGCTTCCAAGGAGTGCCTGGTGGATTCAAACTGCTGACCTTTTAGTTAGCAGCCGTAGCATTAACCACTACGCCATCAAGGTTTACATTTAAAACAACATTCAAAACTGCTTCTCTCTAAGCTATCTGAATTCTGAGAAGAGAACAAGTTTTTTGCTTCAGAAATTCTGTTTATACTGAAAGTTTTAAAGTAGAGATGACAAACAAAAAATACTTATAGGGGCCACTGAGGAGTAAATGAAAGGAGCAGGATGGGAGCTGTGGTAAACTTTAGAGCACTTATACTCTGCCCTGCTTAAACAAAGCAACTCTTAGTCAGCTCTGGCTGTCTGTGGCCATGAGGGAACATGGACCATGGTGCCAAATCTTCAGAATTTTCAAAAAATGTCATACGTTTGGCAGTTAAGTCTGAACACTGTAAGTCATCTAAAACAAATCTGTGACCAGGATCCATCCCAGACTATTAGTTAACAAACAACTTTAATGGGATATTTAATTTTAATGAAATCTTTTTTTTTCTTCGTTGCGTTTTACATATAGTCGACAGAGGTACGTTCTTGGAGACACAGCAATGCAGAAGATGGCCAAGTCCCATGTTTTCTTAAGTGGTATGGGTGGTCTTGGTTTGGAAATTGGTAAGCAGTATTTTGATATATAATTTTTTGTAGTACTTTTGAGGAACATAAAGTAATTTATAGAATTTAACTCATTTCTCTTGTATTTCCTATAAAAGGAAATTAGATCGAGAAGTTTGATAGCATTCAATATTGATTCTTTTAGCAAGACAGTTTCATAGTACTGTTAAGTTATTCTGTCAGCAATCAGTAATGCTTATTGCTTCTCTTTTTGTGATGTTAATAGGCATTAATGATCATTTCCTGTATGCGTTAAATCATTGTGGTAACACTCATACATATATTCATAGAAACAAGTCTGGATGAATACGTTGAAATTTCAACAGTGATTATCCCAAGATGGTGTTGATTGCGGAAATTTTTATGTTTTCCTTTTTGTTTATCTTTGTATTTTCTAACTTCTTACAAGGAACTTATATTTCTTCAATAGTAAAAAAGTTAAAATTATCTGTTCAGAGATTTGTCCAAATCTCCCTGAAGACATGTCTGATACGCATTCCTAATATTGAGCTATTCATTTTTCTCTTTCCTTTATAGCAAAGAATATAGTTCTTGCAGGGATTAAGGTAAGGGAGTAAATATCCTTGGTAAGAAGAACCATTTGTTCTGAACATTAAAAACTTTTGCTTATTAATAGTGATAATATTGTTTACCCTCTGGCTTAATTACTGTTTTCTTCATTTAATATCAAAATTGTTTCAGTGCTCTACTTTCCTCTTGTTAGAAATTTTATATTTTGAAAAATTTCAAAAATATACAAAAGTAGAGAGACTAGTTTAGTGAACCGCCATGTACCCATCACGTAGCGGCAGTTATCAACTCATGATCAAATTTATTTCATATAATCTCCTTCCCATTCTGTCTCCCCTACCATGTTATTTTGATGTAAATCATAGGCATTATATCATTCTTAAATATTTTAGTATATGTCTCTAAAATATACAGGTACCTTTTAAAAACATAACCACAAGACCTTTTTCACACCTAAAAATGTAACAACTCAGTAATATCATATTAGTTATCTATTGCTGCAGAAGTTGGTGGCTTAAACAGCATTTATCATCTCACAGTTTCTTTGGGTCAGGAATAGGATACAAATTAGCTGGGTCCTCTGTTTTAGGGTCTCTCACAAAACTGCAGTCAGGGAGAAATATGCTTCCCAAACTTGCTTGCGTGTTAGTTAGCAGGGTTCAGTTTTTCATGGGTTGTTGAACTGAGGATCTCTGTTACTCACTGGCTGTTGTGCAGAGGTCACCCTTAGTTCCTTGCTATGTGGTTTCTCTGTAGACAGCTCACACACAGCAACTTACTTCATCAGAATAAGCTAGCAGAACAAGTCATAATCGTTTTGTAACCTAATCTCAAAATTAACATCCCATCACCTTTGCTGTATTCAGTTAGTTAGAAGCAAGTCACTTGGTCCAGCCCACACTCAAGGGGAGGGGATTACATAAAGGCCCAAATGCCAGGAAGTGGGAAAATAGCTAGTAAGAGTTCAAATTTTCCTAATTGTCTTATGAAATATTTTTTAAAGCTTGCTTTAATCAAGATCCAAGTAAAGTCTGTACACCTTCTCCTCAGTTATTAACATGGTTATGTTTCAAAGGCTAGGTTGTTATGGGAAATTGGTGTTATGTGAAAATGGAGGATGACCACATCATATCACAGAATGGCAGATGACTACATCATTACATAACTGCTACAGTACATCATTGCATAACTGCCAAGTTATATCATTGCATAACTGTCAAGTTGCATCATTACATAACTGCCAAGTTACATTATTACATAACTCCCAAGTTGCATCATTACATAACTGCTAAACCACTGAGAATCATGGCCCAGCCAAGCTGACAAATAACCTTAACCATCAAAGCCAGTATTAACTCTTGCCTCACACCTCAGCATTCATTACTGCCAGACATACATTGTTAATGTGCAAAATAGTCGGATAGCAGATTTTTTAGTATTGTTGTAAATGTGAAATGTCCGATAACGAGATGGTCGATAAATGAGGAGAAAGTTTATCGAGCTTGCTTTCTTGCAATCTATAGGTTTCTCTTCCCTGATTTTTTTTTCCTTGAAATTTATTTGTTAAGAAACCGGGTCATTTGTCACATTTACCTCTGCTTCCGTGTTTCCTGTAAACTGGTAGATTCAGAGAATCAGATTTGGATTTGATTGTTTTCACAAGACCATTTTATAGGTGATGTGTTCTCCCATCATGAGACAGTGATATTCTGTTGTCCCTCTTTTTGTAACTATTGTTAGCCATTAATGATCATTGCTTAGATTCATTATTTCATTGGGGCAGCAGTAATATTCTAATTCTGTCATTCTTCATTTATTAGCTGGAATAGTTTTTGAAAGAAATTTTCTACTCATCACTTATTGGTTTTGCTAAAGTGTAGTTTGCACATGTTTGAAAGACAAGATAAATATTTATTTTTTCCCCTTTACCAGTTTTTAAAATAAGTAGTTTCCTGTCATCCTCCAACAGTGACCAGTGAGCATGCATGTATGTATGCATGTGTGTGTGTTTGTAATTATAAACTCAGATTTAAACACATGTAATACACTTAATCTGGTGTAGTTGTTACCCTCATTGATGCTCAAATCATTTCACCTTTGACTGTTGGAATTCTATTCAAGTTTTTGAGTCCTTTTGACACAGCTCCAGTAGACTTTGATAGTTAAACAGTTTGTAAATCTTTTTGATGCTAGAATATTCATCATGAGTGAGCACTGCAATTTCTGAGTTTCAAGTTTAGGGTTGTAAGGCACTGCTAAAATTTGGGATTCACATTAAGATTATAATAATGATGAACACTTGATTGTTTCCAGTCTTTTGTTAGTACAAGTAACGCTGCAGTGAATACCCTTATGTATAACATCTTTTGTATTTTTCAGTGTCTTTGGGATGCAGTCCTAGAAATGGGGGTCTGTGTCAAAACATAAATATACATGTCATTTTACTATATTGCCCAATTCCTTTCTGTTGATGCTGGGCCTCTTCATGTATTCCCACCAGTAATGTATAATGGTGCCTGAATCCCCTCACTCTCACCAATAGAATATATCGTCAAACTTTGGGCTTTTTGCCCATCTGACAAGTGAGAAAAAAGGTACTTTTATGTCTCTTATTCTGAGCAAGGTTGAACATCTTTACATATTTTCAAGGTCCGTGTGCATTTCTTTTCATTATAATTCATGTTCACGTATCTTTGCCTTTTTCTTTAAGATTTGTGGCCTGTGATATAAATTAAAAATATTTTTTTCCAGTTAGGTTTTTTCTTTGAACATGGAGTATTTTGAAATGTATATTTGAGTTTTCTTTATTTTTATATGTTGATTTTTATGACATATTGCTTTCCTAAATTTAAATTCTCTTACTGGTTGAAGTAGTTTTTCCACTTCTGGACTTTTCCGATATATATATAGTCGTATTATCTGCATCCTTTCCAATTGTATACCTTTAATTACTTTCTGTTGCCTAATTACAGAGGATAATACCTTCAATACAGTGTATTGGAGATAGTGAGCATCCTTGTCTTATTCCTGACTTTAACAGATACTTTCCTCTTTTTTGAAGGCACTTACAATTCATGATACAGAAAATTGCCAACCATGGGATCTAGGAACCAACTTCTTTATCTGTGAAGATGATGTTGCTAATATGAGAAACAGGTGAAAATGAGACATTTTGGTGGATTATCGTAAGATTTTCTTTTTACTCTCTCACTTATTTATAGAATATTTTCTGTATTCAGAACATCAGTAAGTCATAGTTAATTCATCATTCATCATAAATTCTCACTACTATGCATAAAGATTGGCGTATGCTTATCTAATCATTTATATTTGTCAAATTTTTGATACATACAGATTGCTATCTAGGAATGAATTTCTTTAATATGGTTAACAAAGGTCTTAAGTATTAGCTGAGTCGTTAAAAGACTGAGGAACTTTGAGCTTGGAACTATAAGGGTATACTTTGGGATTGTGTAGCTTCCTATGGAATATGGCAGTGTGCTGCATCTTAAGATTGTAGTTATTTATAAAAATAAACAAGTCTTGGCTTCTTCCTTCTTCTACAATTTATTGAATTAAGTTTCCACTGAAATTTTGTACCCTGTCATGTTCCTCTGATGCCATTAAAGTTTGAAAGATTGATTATATAAAACAAAAGAATAGTAAAGGTCATTTATTTATTTTATTTTTTAGAGCTGAAGCTGTACTTCAACATATTGCAGAACTAAATCCATATGTTCATGTCACATCATCTTCTCTTCCTTTAAATGAAACCACAGATCTCTCTTTCTTAGATGAATACCAGGTTGGTACTCTTAACAAGGCAGGAAAAAGCAATTCAGTATAATCAAGAGTTAGTGAATATAACCAACAATAGAATTAAACCTCTAAAGAATTTCAGATAATAGAGATAGAGTGTTGTTGTTAGGTGCCGTTGAGTCAATTCTGACTCATAGTGACCCTGTGTATAATGGAAGAAAACATTGCCTGGTTGTGTGCCATCCTCGCACTTGTTGGCTATTGTCCATTGTTCCCACCACTGTGTCATTCCATCTCATTGAGGGTCTTCCTCTTTTTCACTGACCCTCTACTTTACCAAGCATGATGTCCTTCTCCAAGGATTGGTCCCTCCTGATTAAACAAAGATTTCCGAAGTAAGTAAGATGAAGTCTTGCCATCCCCACTTCTAAGGAGCATTCTGGCTGTCCTTCCAAGACAGATTTGTTCAATTTTCTGGCAGTCCATGATACATTCAATATTCTTCGCCAATACCATGATTCAAAGACATCAATCAATTCTTCTTCTGTCTTCCTTATCCATTGTCCAGCTTTCATGTGCATATAAGGCAATTGAAAAATACCATGGCTTGGGTCAGCCACACCTTAGTCCTCAAAGTGACATCTTTACTTTTTAACACTTTAAAGAGGTCTTTTGCAGCATATTTGCCCAGTGCAATACATTATTTGATTTCTTGACTGCTGCTTCCATGGACATTGATTGTGGATCCAAGTAAAATGAAATCCTTGACAACTTGAGTATTCTCTCTGTTTGTCATGATGTTGCTTATTGGTCCAGTTGTGAGGATTTTTTTTGTTTTCTTTATGTCGAGGTATAATCTATACTGAAGGCTGTAGTCTTTGATTTTCATTAGTAAGCACTTCAAGTCCTCTTCACTTTCAGCAAGCAAGGTTGTGTCATCTGCATATTTCAGGTTGTTAATGAGTCTTCCTCTAATCCTCATGTTGTGTAGAGCTTATAAAATATATATGTTCAAACTAACTGAATCTTGCAAGAAAGAATTAAATATACAATAGGAAAGTAAGATACTATTGAAAAAGATTGGATAAAGAATCAAATAGAACTTTTAGAAATGAAAGTTATAGTCTTAAAAATTAAAACTCAGTGGATAGATACAACTTGAATAAGAATTAGTGAATTGAAAGTTGTATCTGAGGAAATTACTGAGACTGCAGTACAGAGGAATAAGAGAAAATATGAAAAAAAGTTTATGAAATTGGATTTCCAGGAAAGCATTAGGAAAAGACAAATTATGGCTGAAAAATATCCAGAATAGATGAACCACAAATACTCAGATTCAGTATGTGTTGGGTCTAGAATTTGATTTTACCCTGTTTACAAACTAGTAAATTCATAAGCCTGTTACTGTTTCATGGAAGCTGGCAGATAAGATGAGATTCCTGGGTCAGAGACAAGGACTGTGTTACTCAGCATAGCAAGAAGTATGAGAATCATGTTTGCATCATTTCCTTTGGTCCCACAAGTACAATGCAGAAGGGCTCAGATGGATGCCTTCAAATGTAGTGGGCTGTTTTAGCGGAAAGGAACACTAAATTGGGGAATTGCTGTTTTATACCAAGCAGTAAATAAGCCCTCTCTTTGTCACAAAGGGAGATAATGTGCTCTGCAAATACAACCCTGAGAAATGATCCAAGAAGTAAAGAGTGATCAGGGCTTTGAACATGTTATACTCAGTTCCTCAGGTAGAAGCACAGAAGACCCACAAAGGAGTGTCTTCGTAGAAGAAGCATAGTATTCTGAGCTAGATAAATAAAACTAAATCCACATTTGCACCTGTTGTAGTGAAACTTAAGTTGTCTAGTTTATGGAAACCAGCAGCAGAGGAAAGCTCTGGACTGAGTCTTTTGCCACTTCGTAGATGAATGACCTTGAGAAAGTCTGACCTCTATGAACCTAAGTTACTTATGATAAAATCTGATTAGTAAAACCTTGCTACTTATCTCACAGGGTAATCATAAAAAATTAACTTAAAAGTTATAATTTGCTGTCCTGTCTTAAATAACAGAATTTAGTGGTTTCACTAATGACATTGTTGTAAAGCAGAAGTTTACTGTATTGTGAATTTATTGAATCTCAGAAGTAAAAGAAAGGTAAACTAATGTATCTTTAAAAAAAAATAATTACTGCTTGTTTAAAACTAGCATGAAAATAATCTTGGGGCTAGGTTAGTATTCCCATTGCAGTAACTGATAAAAAAAAAAAATCTCCAGTAACTTGGCATGCATAAACATCACATAAGATGTTAAGGCTTGCTTCTGTTTGTGAAGTCTGTGATGATAATTGAATTTATTGTGGATGTGTTTTTCCCCTGTATTTATGTTTACTTTTGCTATTCTGTACTTCTGAAATGTTAATCTTAGAATGGAATACAATAGGATTTTTTTTTTTACAAAGATGATAATGTATTTTAATGTAATGCAAACTTACATGCTTCTGATCTGGAAATTTTATATTACCTAAATAATTATGGATCTTCTAGTCTTTAATTTCTGATGTTCTTCTCAACAGTGTGTAGTATTGACTGAGATCAGACTTCCACTGCAGAAGAAGATTAATGACTTTTGCCGTTCTCAGTGCCCTCCAATTAAGGTAAAAATACCATTTAATAATGACATGTAGTTAAGCAAAGGAACAGAGACAGTTTCACTGTCCATATCTGTAGCTCTTACAGTGGGTTACATAAGAAGATCTTTCTACTTGAGGACAATCACTTTAATTTTGGTATCATCTTTATTTGCTATCTTTTAAAAAAGGATCTAAGTTTGAGTTATTGGCAAATTCTGAAAACTAAGGAAGAATTAAAATTAGGAACAGAAACAATTTATCATCTAACTTTAAACATGGCATTGTGGTGATTTTCATTGGTTCATTTAACAAATATTCATGAACATCTACTATGTAACAGACACAGTTCTAGGCACTAGGACTGCATTAGTGAACAGACAAGTATTCCCATCCTATGAAAATTACCTTCTCATAACAAAGATGTACAATAAACAAGCAAATAAATATATGATGTTTTCAAATAGTTTTAAGTCCTATGAAGAAAAAGAAGTACCAATGAAAAATAGAGCATCATGTCTTGTTGTTGTTGAGAGGGGAACCAGCACTGGTTCTCTTCCGATTGGAAGGCCAAGGAGGTCCTTTCTCAGAAGATGACATTTGAATAGAGCTCTGAATAATGAGAAAGAGCCAACCATATAAAGATCTGCCAAAGAACATTCAAAGCAGAGAGAAAAGCAAGTGTAAAGGCCTGCAAGTTTAAAAATGAGCTTGGTAATGATCTACAGATACTATGTAATTCCTATTAAAATTCCAGCTGCCTTTTTTGCAGAAATGTTAAAAGCTGATCTTCAAATTCATATGGAACTGCCAAATCAATCTTGGAAAAAAAAGAACAAAGTACGAAGACTCACACTGCCTGATTTCAAAATGTATTACAAAGCTACAGTAATTTAAACACTGTGGTGCTGGTATAAGGATAGACATAGAGACCAATGGAATAGATTGGAAATCCAGACATAAGCCCATTCATCTGTGTCCAATTGATTCTCAGTAAGGGTGTCAGCTGCATTCAATGGGGAAATAGTCTCTTTGTCGAGCCAGAGCCCGAGATTGCCAAGAAAGACACATAGGCATGGGATGGAATAATGCTTTACTCACATAGAGAAGAGACAGAGCAAGGTCAGCTTCAGTAGTGTGCACCGGTCTCCCATGGCCAGTGGGTTACTGCCTGCAGCCAACTTAGGATTGCCGTGATTGAGCAACCCCATTCCCTCCCCACTGGGAGTAGTGAGGTTGTCCAGGTGCCATATTATACACATGCATAAATAAAACAGGAAGGAGTTCCCCTGATAAGGAAGAAGAAGAAACCGGGACAGAGGGAGGCTCAGTTCCCAGCCTTCGTTAACATGGAATATTCCAGGCCCAACGCTCCTGATGAGGTGGTCAGATGAGGGTCGCAGGGGCCATTGCAGACTGTCCTCCATCCTCCCAACAGTCCACTCCTCAGTTCTTATTAGGATACCAGATGAAAAAGAAGCAAAGTGTCCACAAGTCCTAGTAATGCCCATTGTTCATTCCAGATGTTGAGCTGTGTATCCATGGCATGGTGCACAACTCTGATGTTATATCTGTGCACCATTTGCTTGATATCTTTAGGCAGCATTTAATGAGGGTCCCTAGTAGGAGTGTCCCCAGCAGGATGATCAGGCCTGCTTGGAGGAGAGATCACAAGCAGCTACCCCAATCGTTGTTTCTCCCAAGCCAAATGAATAGGTCAGAGGGTTTTATTTTCTCAGTCTTGTGGAGAATTTGAACTGCATTTTTTTATGTCGTGTGTGATTCATAACATGTCCTGACTCATTTATGTAAAAACAGCCTTTTACTCCCAACATGGCCCATGCATCCCCAGATTGTGCCATCAGAATGTCTAGCATTCTGTAGTACCAGAAGGCAGTAGCCACTGTCCAGTTGTTTAGTGTGGTCCACCATGTTGACAGATCAGTTGGAATGAAGTGGAGTGTTATCTCAGTTCAGATGCTGACACTGCCAGCAGTTGGTCTGGTTGGTAGCTCTTGCAAAAGCCTGTATCATTGGGGTCCATGGGTGAGGAGCTTGTCCATCTCTTTAAGGTAGTCTGGAGAGAGAAAAAGACAACATTATCAATCCCTTTGTATGTGCATACACAAAGGTTGTACTCTAAATCCCAGTTAATCATGAGACTGCTAGGAGGAGGACTCTACTGTCTGATCCAGTTGAGTAGCACACACAAAGACACTTTACAAAGTGTTGGCAGTGAAAGTCATTATTATTTATAGAAGGTAGACAGTAAACAACAGGAACAGATTACTTACAGAAAGCAAACAGTAAATGACAGGAACAGATTTTAAGTGAACCAGTCCCCTCGACCCCTACAAGTACCCCCCATTTAGTGTTATAGTAGAAGAACCCACTTACATCCAAAAGGGGACCTGCTTACCCTCCTCAAATTACCCATGTCCATTTGTGTGTCACTGGGTAGGCATGCCGTGGATCAGGTGTCAGCAGGTGTGTCATTACCTCAGGTCAGGTGCAGTGTGGCTGTGTTCATTCTCCTTGTCTCTCCCCACAGCTTTTCTTGGCTGGCTTTGTGCTTACTGGTCTAGCTCTCAACCAGCAGCTTTGGGATAACCTTGGGCGTGTATCAAGTTTACACTAGCATTACAATGGCTCTCAAGGCAAAGCTGTTACAGGCATGCCCAAGCCTCTGCAGGTGTGTAATCTCTGCTTAGAACAGGCCCCCTCTCACCAAGGGTTACATCTCAACACAGCTGGGGCACCTGCTGCTGCCAAAGGCAGGCCATCGTGGCCCCACACTGCTGCTTGCTGTGCTTGGCCTTTCACCACTGCTAAAGGCCAACAAGCTTGGTCCCCACAATGCTGCTTGCTCCGTGGGCCGGCTTTACCCACCACTCCCATTTGCTCTGTGGGCTGACCCCATCCACCCCTGCCATTTGCTCCATGGGCCGACTCCATTTTCCTAACCGCTGCTGGCTGTGGACCTCGCAGCTTCCTCCACTTGAGCCCTTCTAGTCTTCTCTGTGGGCTGGGCCCCTCTGGGCCTCCCACCACCAGCTCTGCTGATGTTTCTTAGTCTTCAGTGTTACCAGCTCAGTGTTACCAGAACAGATTACCAGCTCAGTGTTATAGCCCCTTCACTTGGGTCTTGGGGTCTTTCAGCACAGGGACCCCAGGTCTAAAGGATATGCCCCTATCCAGGCTTTTATTCATCAGAAGACCTCCAAAAGCTTCTATGGGATTGGTCGCTTATATAGGAAAACGCTTTGTCAGTTTCACGGCAGGGCTTTCCTAGCAGGATTGCCAACTGACCAGTCACTGAGGAGATTACAAACCAACCAATCATTTGGCAGATTACGGTGTGACTGATCGTTTTAGGAGAATTGCAAACACAGGGCCAGAAAGCCCACATGAGAGAAATCCATTTCACCACAACACTCCTCCCCTTACCTTCTGTAGTGGAAATGCCCTGCCCTCTGATTTAAGTTGAAGGTTCCCAGGTGTGACCACCCAGGCTGTATTTCTGAGTCCCAAAGCAGCAACTTTAATGGGGATCCCTTGTTTATGTTGCTTGACCCAGATTGTTCAACCCAGAGAGAGAAGTCATATCTTTGAACAAATTTTACATAACCTATGATGTCACCTACCTGTACCAAAGGATTAGGGGTCCAGGTGCAACCAGAGCAACCCTAGGGCCTTGGCATTCTGTCACTCCTCCCCCTTTCCCATGGGGTCTCACAGGAAAGAGGAAAAAGCCTGCGGGAAGCATCACCTCCAGGTTTTAATCAGGAGGCCCCTTTGCTGATACCACTACAACCAGACCATAAATTACCCTCAGGGAGTGTGTTCCCACTGGAAAAAAAGAAAAAGAACAGTTGAATATACTGAGATTGGAATTTCTCAGGCATAGCCTGAGAATGAGGTGACTACCAGGTCCTCCACACTTCAAAACTCAGTATTGCCCAACATACATTGTATTACTGTATTTCCCATTTGTTGGAGTGAGGTGTTTCCTGTCCAAATGGCCTTTGTGAGGCAGGGGTACCATTTGGTAAGTTGTCCTTTTTGATAGCCTTTGCATTATTGTTATTCAAGTTGTCTGTTCCAGCATTCTATTGCCCTGTTTACCTGAGAGTGATAGGAGGCATGGAAGATCCATCTTACACCACAGTAATGTACCCATTGCTGAGTTGCCTATGCTGTAAATGAAGTAGTTTGATCTGATTGAAGTCTTCTTGAATATTCAAAGTATGACAGAAATATTTTTCCAAGGCTGCAATGGTGGTCTCAACATCCACATGATACACAGAAATTGCTGTTCCACAGCCAGAGTATATGTCTATAGTAGTGACCCAAATTCCATTCCCATCAAGTCGATTCTGACCCAGTGACCCTGTAGAACAGAGTAGAACTGCCTCATAGGATTTCCAAGGCTCAAATACTACGGAAGCAGACTGCTTCGTCTTTCTCCCGTGGAGCGGCTGGTGAATTCTAACCACCGACCATTGAATTGGCAGCCAAGTGGTTAACCACCGTGCCACTAGGGTTTTTTTCCGCAGTGATGAAGCACCACCAAATCCCTGACTAGGAACTAGAGGTCCAGTGTGGTCAATCTGCCCTACTCATGCAGGTCCAGTTTCTCGGCTGATGTGACCCAGATCTGCACATTAACACATGTGGGCTTGCTGACAGGATTCACAAGACCATATGATGTCTCTGGCTTCTGTCTTTTCTAGAGCAAGTCCTTGTGAATTGGCCCATTCTTGAATTTGGATTGGGCTTCCATGTCCTGTCTAGTGATAAACCCAACATGCAATCGTGGCAGCTTACTGAGCACAAGCTTAGTTGGCAGGGGAATTCTATTCATGTTCTGTTTTAAATGGTCTTTTGCCATGGATGTCAACATGGGTGACAAAAATGTCTCCTTCCCAGCTTGCAAGCTGCTACCACAGACCTTGTCCTCGTTAATCAGTCATTAATCTGCAAGTCACCAGACCATATGGCCAGACCATTTGCAATGGCCCATGAGT